TTTATGGGCAGACACCTTCTTCAGATGGCTGGTGATCTGAGAAGATGGTGGATTATGTACCTAAAAGCTGTCTTGCATCTCATCTCAAGTTGACCCTTTTCATAAAAAGAAAAGTGTAGGTAAAGGGCTTGAAATTCAGGAAAAAAGTAGGTAAGGGGTTTGGAATTCAGGGAAAAAGTTCAATCAGATAAAAGCTGCAGTCTGGTGATATTACAAGCATCCCTTCATATGCTGATGGTGATTCTTAATCTGTGTCCTGGCCTTAGGACATTCTCTCCCTGGAGCACAGTGACTCAGATACCATCTTGGTCTCTTGCAGTCCTCCTGGGGCACAAAGGTCAAATTGCTTGCGAGTCTCCTGAAGTCAGGGCAGGTCCATTCCAGTCCCTGGAACGGTAGCTTTCTTCATTAATTACCAAGCTAACTAACTATATAACTAAAGCTAAAACTTTTAACTTCTTGAGTTTTCCATCATTATGAGTCTTAGCCTTTGGACTGGGAAACAGGTGTCCTCCAATACCAGTAAATAGGATCTCTTACCCTGCCCTTCTTGCTCTTCTCACCCTGTTGCAGGACAGTTACCAAACATGCTCAACCCCTGTATTCTTCTATGTATTTATTCATTTACTATTATTGAGCTTCTAGTATGTTCCAGGCCCTGGGATTATTTAGGGGAGCATGATGCAGTCCTTATTCTTGTGAAGCTTGTGGTTAAGTGAGAAAGATAGGTAAAAATAATTATGCTCTAAGCATATATGAATTATAAATATATTGGTGTAAACAAACTACTATTGAGAGAATAGAGATAGAAGTGTTTGGGGGCGTCACAGGGACAAATTCAAAATGGTTCTTAAAGAATGAATGAGGGTTTCTAGGCAGATAAGGGGGTAATAGGATATTCTAGTCTATGAAAACAGAAGTAACAATATAAAAAGAGTGGCCAAAAAATTTGGTATGGCTTGAATATACGATCTGTGAGATTGTCAAAGGATTTTGTGTTATGCCAAAAAAAAAATATTTTTTACCTCATAAGCAACACTATAATGGAAACTTTTAAGCTGGGGAGTGAAATGCTTTTTTAGAAATACAATTTTGGGAGCAACTCTGGAGGAGGGACTCAAAAGGGAGAGACTGCTATTGAAAAGGACTGTCAAGAAAATGCTTTCACAGTTGAGGGAAGACATGAAACGATCTGGATTGGCAATGAGAGTGGAGACAAACAATTGAATTCAAGAGATATCCTTGAGCTAGAGTCAACTGGACTTGGTGACCAGTTGGATCAGGAGAGCCGGAAAGGGAGAAATGAGGATGACTCAGATTCTGAGTCAGACTAGTGATTCCCTTAAAAGCGAAGGTTTGGGTATGTGAGTGAATCCTGAATTCAGTTGGGCAATGTTACTCTTGCTGTGACAGGGGATTTCCAGAATGAGATGTTAAAAGGCAACTGGAAATATTCTCTGGAGCCAAGGGGAAGGGTGGGCTTGAGAGAAAGGTATGGCTCACTGGAGTAGAGAGGAGCCTTAAATGTAAACAAGGTCACCCAGTGAGCACCTTGTCAGTGTGCAAGGGCTTTGCACAGCAGTTGAAGGACAAAAAGTAACGCGGTATCCACAAGCACTGATGAAATTCTCCCTCCCTCTCCCTGGAAGAGGGCTGGGTCTATTTAATCTCGTGTGATTTCCCTAGTAGAACAATTTCAAATCAAAGGTAATGAAATAGCTAAAGAAGTAACTTGTTTGCAAATTAACTACTTAGTGAATATTTGCCACAAAGTTTTATATCACCTCTGGGATTTTTCCATTTTCTTGAAGAAAATCAGCTTTTACTAGAAGAAAATTAATCTTTCACTTAACTTAGAGGATCATGGCTTGTTTTATTCTCCACTACAAAGTTCCTTGGAGAGTGTAAACAATTCACACATTGTGTGTGTGTGTGTGCATGTGCATGACCTCTTTTGGTTTTGTTAAATTGTCTCCTCACTTTTTAGCATTTTGGGTTCTCTTTTCTGCAAATGTTAAGTATTTGGATTGGGCTTATTTGCCTACTCTTCCTACTGTTTCAATCACTTTGGCTTATGGGTGCCTTTGAATAATAATGTGAATATAGAAATGATGCATACATAACATTTTTAGCTAATAGACTCTTAAGAAATGACAATGCATTTATGAAAGCTGAAAAAAAGTGGTAGAAAGCACATTTTTAGGATTTCTTAGTAAAAGACCAAATGGAACAAAAATCCAAAATAAACATTGCAATTTTTAGATCTTTGTCTCTATGTCACATAAATGTGCTATGTTCAGCTAAAGCTCATCATGGTTTGATTATTGAAAATATGTTTAATAAGCACTATCGATAATGTGAACTCAGGAAAGTTGTTTCTACCACTTTGACACCTCTGGGTGGTTTGTGGTTAGAAGTCTGAGATAAGAAGAAAAAAGTAGAATTGCTTATTTGTTTCATAACCCTGCATTGTGCTGATTTTTCTGTGTGATTTTGTCAAAAGATTTTTAACCTGGGATAATACAACCCATCCTGATAGGATGGGTTCAAACAAGACCATCTTATATTGAAGAGATGAAATAGTTTAGATATTAAAAGAATCAATTTGCAAGTAAACTTTTAAACTATTGTGCAGTTCTCAGGGGCATACATTTTTCTTCAGAGGTTTTCTTAACAGCTCCCAAAAAACAAAGAGGGAAATGCTCTTATCCTCTGAAAAATTTGAAAACTTAAAGAAGTCACCTGATATAAAGATTCTGATTTTTCTCTTAAAAACATTGGTTTATGGATAGCAACAGTAATATTATAAAAATCATAGTTAGCAGCAGTTAACAGGGTTGAGTTTCTATTGGTAAGATTGTACCCTTTAGACATGGTAGTCAACATGATTAAGGAGATAGAGTACCTGTTGCCTAGAGCAGCGATTTTCAACCGGTGTGCCACAAGAATTTTTAAAACATGCAATACCTGACTATTTAGTCAGGGGTATTGACCTCTTTCCCTTAGATTGTGGAATACAAAAATGACAACAGCCAACACAAGAGCCATCGGGTGTGAATGAATCAAAATTATACCTATTTTTTTTTGTCAGATCAGCAAAAAAATATATTTTTTGGTGTGCCGCAGAATTTTAGTAGTTAGTTTATGTGCCATGAGATGGAAAAGGTTGAAATCACTGCTCTAGAGTACTTATAACCTGAGAGTACAAAGAAGAAGTGAACAGATAGGTCAAAACAAAAACTAAGAATTAATGTTCAGATTTTAAGACATCATCAGGATTCAAGAGAACATATTCCTATCTGTGTTCTTAATAATGTATTAAATGCTAAAAGATATGGCATGGTGTTTACATAGAAATCACTAACATGCTGTGGTTATGAAACATCTGGGTGTATTAGAACAATCATTGGTCCCAGGACCCCTGTACATTGGGCAAATTTAATAACTGTGTACTTTGGAGATCCAAATTATCAACCAGACAAACCTGACCTTCCCTCTGTAGGCATAAAAGAGCCAAGATAATCTTTAATCACCTAAACAAGTCTTTATGAACCTGGGGGATATTTACAGGTAAAGAATCTATTTCTTCGAAGCTCAGACAGATAATTTACATTAGAATCTGATATCCCAGTTGAACAGGTGTCTTTTATGCTTGATTGTATATTTGCATTTCCTTGTTTTCAGAAGAAAGGCAACATGGTTTAGCTAATTATGGAACCATGTTCCATTGATGAGCTATAATCCTGGGCAAGATATTCCCTTATTTTGGGGCCCCAGTTTAACTTATAAATGTAAATGTAATAGAAAGGCTTAACTGGATCATTCCTAAGAGCCCTTTGGTTCTTACAGTTTATAGCCAATGTTTCATCTCCTCAGATTTATAAATAGCTACATTTTTATTTGTCCATCCATCCATCCATCCATCCATCCATCCATCCATCCATCCATCCATCCAAGAAATACATATTGTGATCTACTACATACCAGTTACTGTTATAGATACTTGGAATGGATCGATAATAAGATGAACAAGGTCCCTGATTTTAAAGATTACATTATGGTGGGTAGCCAGACAATAAACAAGTAAACATATAAAATGGATAATTTCCGACAATGATAAATACTTTATCTCAGGTAATATGCTAGCTATAAAATGACCTGGGGTGTACTTTGGATTGAGTGATCAATGGTTGCTGGAGAAGTAAGAAGCATGTAAAGATTAGAGAGAATATTCCAGGCAAAGAAACAATAATTTCAAAGCCTTGGGGACCAGCTTTTTGTGTTTGAGGGTTTAGAAAAAGAGCAATGTGACTGCAATGTAGTGAATGACTGGTGTAAAATGGTGTTAGAGAAATTGGATGAGTCATGTAGGTCATGGAAACCAAGCTAAGGAGTTAGATTTTATTCTAAGTGAAATGGGAAGGCCCTAGATGTTTTATAAGCAGGGCAACAGCACTATCCAACTGTGCATGTTAGAAAATCATTCTGATTTCCTTCAGAAGAATGGATGGTAAGTGGGCAAGAGTGACAGCAGAGAATTAGGAAACTCTTGTAGTCCCAGAGAGAGATGGGGCTGGTTTGGACAGTTGTAGTTTAGATGGAGGAGAAGTGAAAACATTCTTTTGGGCATAAAACAGAAGTATAGGAAATTAGACTTCCTTTAGACAGATAACAGTGATCCTGTAAGATTCAGTCTGTGGTGAGCACTGTCTAGCTTCATGTGGTTGCTTGCTTCCATTACCCTTCCCTTGGTTGTTGCTAGTGACACTTCAGCTTTAAGTTAAACCTCAAATCTTTCATGCATCTAAGATGTTATGTGACCTTATAAACAAGTAATCTAAACTGTCTAAGCCATTAGTTGTTTGTACATGGAAAAATCAGCCTTGATGTATGATTTCTAAGTTTACCAGTTCTGGCTGTGTATGATGCCAGGCAAAGGTTAAATTATGTTACAGGAAATGTGTATGTGAATTTGGGGGTGCTTACAGGGTGTCTGAAACATGGACAGGCAATGTATACGAGAATTTATGGGTATCAGAGATGGAGATGGTATGTTAGGGAGAGTGAGGAACATATATATGAGAAGTGAAAACATTCTTTTGGGCATAAAACAGAGGTACACGAAATTAGACTTCCTTTAGACAGATAACAGTGGTCCTATAAGATTCAGTCTGTGGTGAGCACTGTCTAGCTTCATGTGGTTGCTTACTTCCATTAACCTTCCCTTGGTTGTTGCTAGTGACACTCCAGCTTTAAGTTAAACCTCAAATATATATGATAAGGTGGGAGAAGACATTTTGGAGGATGGTTTTATATTGAGGTGGTATGTGAAGAAAATTTAAGCATGAGAGAAGGGGAGAAAGGCCAGGAAGAAAGTGATTGCTGAAGGGGACACTGGGAATTTTAACTACTGGTATGGCAGAGGAACTGACCAAACAGAGTTGACACCCAAGCAGTTAAAACAGACACTGGCTGTAAAAATGGTGCTATCCTATCAATACTCCTGGTTGAATATTAGCCTTGGAGATAAGAACATCCAGGGAGGGTGGAGAAAAGATTCCAGCTTCTTCTGTAGTTATATGAAAGTAATGTACAGATTTTCCTTAAATTGTCTATCTATACATTAAATGCTTTAGCCATGGTTATAGGTATAACCTCCTTTTGATACTGTTTTTCAAATGTCACCAAAGACGAAGGAGAATTTGTGATGAGGTATTTGAGTATATCTTGTTCTGTAGATGCCAAAGTCATTATGAAGCAATTGATTAAGTGCCATACCTAGTTCCCTTACTGGAACGCATTCAAATTGCAGACTTAGATTTGCCAAGTGGTTTTCCAGATGGAGAGCTTAAACATTGATTATGTGGAAACTTAAGTCAGGCTTTTTATCACTACATTTGATAATAAAGAGGTGACCTAGGTAATTTTTAGACTATGACGAGATGAAAAAATAAGCATGTCTAGTAGAAATGACATGTTGGAAGGAATCTCCAGTTACTCCTCTGATGTCAAAGGCACAAACCATCAGCACTGTCACTCAAGAACACCTCAAGTAGTCTTCCTAGCCCTACCTAAGTGCTTTTATGGGCAAGTAAGATAGTCTCATTTATATTCACTTTTCCTGACTCCCTGGAACAGCCCAATAAGATGCAGGGACAGAGAGGGGATTATAGGAACATGGTTTCTTCTCTGGAGGACACAACAGCAAAGTAATTGCTCTCTTGGCTATCTGTAGTCTCATACGGTGGCTATGTTCTGATCCTGGATTCATAGAGAGCAAGTGTTAGAAAGAACTTTAAGATGTTTTGATTTCACTTTTTTATTTCACAGATGAAGAGACTAAAGTCAAGAGGGGTACTCTAGTCACAGGGGCTTGCTAATGTCAGAGCCAGAGTTTGTGTCTGGTTTCCTTGGTAACCACTGCATTGGACTTCTACCATCCTGTGCCGCCAACCATCAACTTTCATCTTGTGTTGGGTTATAAGTCATTGTGTGGACACAAACGGGGAAAAAATTCATGACAAAATCATCTTCAGAAATAGAAGACAATGCATAGTGGATGCAGAAACTTTTACTCCAAGATGTCTTTGTAGTTTACTTGCTACCATTCTAAAGTGCTTGGGAAATTTACTCTGACTGTTTCTAAAGGAACTGAGAGCCAGACTACTGATTTTATCTTCTGCAGCAGACAGTAGAGACATAAACATCTAAACAATAATAGTGCAACATAATTTACTTGGACAAATAAGTCCCCAAGCAAAACATCTTTCATTTTCTTATAATGCAGACTTCATCTACTCTCATGCTATTGGTTCTTTTGCCTTTGCTTATATTATTCTTATTTTTAAAATGAAATCAACTTTATTTTCTCTATACTTAAGAAGTTTTAATTCTAGAACAAAGCATATAAAGAGAAAAGTGAACAAACATAAATGTCCTATTGATGAATAATTATAAAGCATACTACCTCATTTGTACAATCACTACAGGTCAAGAAATAAAACATTGTCAGCACACAGAAGCCTTTCCATGCCTGTGTTTTCCTTCCTGATTTCAATGATTCCAACCCTTCTCCCCCTTACTGAACTTTGTGATACTCTAAATGAGTATTCTGGTTCTATACTCTAAATTCTGTATTCTGGTTCTATGTATTCTTTTATTCATTATCACAATATGCATACTCCACTTATCAAAGTTTCAAGTCACATATACATTCACTGTCCTTCTAGACAGTATGTTCTATGTTCACAGGCAGTTTCTTTCAGCACATTGAAGATATAAGACATAATTTCACTGTATCATAACTTTTATTGTTGCAACATCACCTGTTAATCTAATAAGTGCTTTTTGAAGGCAGTCATTCTTTTTTTCTCTTGCTGCTTTTAGGATTTTCATTATGCTATGTGTAGATGTAAATATTTTGAAAACATCTGCTTGTGATTTGACCTAGTACTTTCTTCCCATTTAATAGTATTTTGAGACATTTTGTTGAGCATTTTAGTTCTTGGAGTGTGGGAATTAGTTTGAACAACCTGGACTGCCATAACTGAAAACTAGGATACTTGTGTGTAGAGTCACAAGCAAACACCAAGCTGAAAGTTTCTTCTCTAGCAACAAGAGAGAGAGAAATGGAAGCCTACAGATATTAAGAAAAAATAAGTAACTGTGGTAAATCTTAAATAAAATTAAAGCAACTAGCACAAGTAAAGTTGTGGTAAATGAATCCTCCTGCATAATGCTAGTCGTATTATAAATTGGAGAAGTTCTGTCAGCAACGTGGCAATACACAGTGTCATATTAATGTTTAAACATTTTGACCAAATGTCATAGTATTTACATAAAAGCAGAATGTTAAAAAAATACTCAACGTTAGTAGAATGCTTTAACAAATTATGATAGATTGACATTATGGCCTTTTATACCATCATTAAAAAGGATTATTATGATGACTACATGTCAAAATGGAATGTTTATGATATAACATTAAATGACAATAGAGGAAAACAAAGCAATATGCTTGCCATATAAAACAAGTATATATCTGGATGAGAAAAGGCAAAAATACACAAATATTTCAGAATAGAGACAGAGATTTTAAAACAAGTAGAAAACTGTCATGATGATAATTTTCCCAAACAATTTCAGCACAAAATTTCTTGCATTAAAAAAAAGGAAGGCAAAGAGAACTTTGAACTTATAATCTAATACCTCAGAATCTGCAGCCAGACCAAAACCACTTAAGTTTCTTCCTTCTGTGATCCCCATGTAGCTCACAAAAACAACACTGGCTTCCTTTAAGCTTAAAATTTATTTTAAAACATGAAACAGTAAGCAAAAATCGAGGGCCTTACCTTTTTCATCAGGGCTTGGTTTAGTTTTCAATGGATGAGATTCAGAGAAGACACACATTTCTATCCTTTGAAAATGATGCATCTGTTCTTTCACGCTCTAGAAGAGTATAATATAAACATATATTTAAATATAATCACTTATTTTTAGTTTAAGTTATTTGTACTCTTAAAAGCTTTTCCTTAACTACGTCATTCCCAAAATCTCTCCCCCAAGCTCTCCTTGCTTGACTAAGTGTGAATCCTCCCTCAATTTCAATATTAAAAGTCATTTCCTCCAAGGGGCATTTTCTGATTCTACAGTGAAAATTAGAACTGATCCACCACCTTTATTTGATTAGTAGTCCACTCCTTGCACAAATTATGGTGCAGTAGTGCATATTTATTTGCTTACCATCTGTTTCTAATACGGAAGCTGCCAAAGGGCAGGGGCCATATCTGTTGGATTTGTACTTTGTAAATGTATTATCTAATATATTGCATATTCCATATTCATATACGAGAAGCAAGCTTCTGGTTCGGTTTCTTCTAGGGCACAGTTTTCACTACTGTCGTGTTCTTTACTGTTGTGAAGTTTCCTTCATTTTGGTGCAATAGAGGTGACTTTATGAAGAGATTACTTTTGTGCTCAAATATAATTATTAAGGCAACCTATACATAAAAGGTCACTTTGACTTTTTCTTTTTTTTCTTCTTTCTATCCAGGAGAAATCGATGATTTTATGAAGTCTGAAATGTTCACATTTCACAGGGGAGGCATACAAATCTTGTGCAGGTGCCCCGAGCGGGTCCAGGAGTTCAGGATGGAGCTGCTGAAAGGGACGCAAATAGTCTGTGACCTCAGCAAGAGAAAGGGCAGCGGGAGTGCCAAGTCCCTCGGGAGCCCGGGGCTCTGCCAGTCGTCCAACAGCAGCCTGTCGTACTTCGTGAACGGCTTGGACAGGTCCCATGAGAGCTCCTACTCCTGCAAGCTGTCCATTTTTGACCCTCCTCCTTTCCAAGAGATTCTGAGGAGAGAATATTTGCATATTTATGGTAAGACAAGGTTTTCACCATGTGGGTACAGGTGCACACATGCATTTTGACAGCTTTTCTCACTCAGGAAAACAAACAAGTATCTTTTGCGTTGGGGTTCACTTAGGTGAGACTGACTGCAATCACTTACGATGAAAATACGCAAGGGATGATTTATGAGTAATAATAATTAGTAGTAACCAGTAATATGCAATTTAATCATGCAGACTGCTGAGTTAGAAATAGGTCGTGTTGTCTTTAAAACACATATGCCATTAAAAATCAGGAAAAATGAAGACAAATACCCAGACCCATGGTTTGCTGACTGTCGCTTCTATTCTCATAAGGCTCCAGGTTGTGATTTTTATGCCAGGTTTGTGGAAGGCAGTGAGATGATTGAACATAATGGTTTTATGTCATTACTTTTCCTACTTATCCTTTTGCAAAAATATAGACAGAAAAGTCCTTTTTTTCAGCCACATTTATAAATATATATGTGCATAGGGTCTTTTAGGTTTTAGTTTTCGGATCCCCACTATAATAATAAAATGATGTTATTTACTATTTACTGGATTTTATGGTTGTAATAAAGACAAGCTCATTTGATTAAATGGTTCTTTTAAATTTGGCAAAAGAACTTATGATTTAGCACCAAAAAAGGAGATCTGATTTTTAGAACTTGTTCTTAATATATCTTTTCTTCTAACCCAGAATCACAGCTTTGCTGCCAGCTGAAGTTCTGGCTACCCATAGGATGTGCAGCTTTTGCTGTAGTCTACATTTGTGGATGCACATTTTTTTGCTGGTTTATGAACAAGGTGAGCAGTGCCTATTCTTTCTTGCATCTACTTTCCTGAGGAACATCAGTGGTTATTTACTCATCAAGGCACCTATTATTCTTGCCAGAGCAAGCTGATCAATAGGTAGATGATTTTTTTTCTCAAGATACACCTACTGATTAAACTACTAACTTGGAACAGAAGCTTATCTATTTTATAGCTGCTTCATTTAAAAATCATTTGATGGCTTACAAAAAGATATGTTATTATTCAATAAAGATGAAGAAATTGGGGCTAACAAAAAACAAAGAGTCAAGAGGAAGGTAAAAAAAATTAAAATAGATGCTCCTGGCTTTTAAAAATTATTTAATGTGGACCGCACATTTGATTCTAAGCTTCCTGAGTCAGGACAAAGAGGAAACAGTTCTGTTTCTTTCACTTGGTCAATTAAGAAATAATCAGCAAGAAAGTCTTATAAGGTACCAGTAGTGGCCGAGAAGTAAATGGCCAGCTTGTGTGCCTGGTAAATTGCTAGGACTCCTTGTTTCCAAAAATGAAAGCTATGCAGAAAGAGAAAACAACAACAATAATGATAACAACAAAAGATCTTTCTGTGCTGGGAATATTCTTTTTAGTCTTTTGCCATACAAGATCTCAAAGAACTTACACCATCCTGCATGTTATGCAAGTCCGCTAATACTCAAGTGTGTCCACAGTGTGATCACTGGCCAAACGGTGTGTATATCTGTGTCAGAAGGGGATATAAGAAAGAGAGAAAGAAGGAAGAGAGTGAGATAGGGCCCATGATCTAAATCCACTGAGGAAAGAACAGTAGAGGCAAAAATGAGGAAGTTAGTTCAGCAGAAAACTCTTTCTGCTTAAAGCCCTTTTCATATTGTCCGAATTAGCCTAAAGCCAGGAGCCTAAGCTCCGTCATAACATTTGTCACATACCACTTCAACAAAGAATAGAAAAGAGTAAACAAACAAAATATCAAAACAAATAAACAAACAAAAATCACCCATGGAGATGGGGGAGAACAGCTGACAAGCCAGGTTTCTGACTTTTTCTTTCAGAAGCATCGAACCAGCGTGCACGACCCTAACAGTGAATACATGTTCATGGCTGCAGTGAACACAGCAAAGAAGCCCAGACTCTCAGGTACAGCAACATTTAGGGGTTTGGGAAAGGAAGAGCATTTTTCACAGTAAGCCTGGAATTTGAATTTATGATTTTAAAGGAAGGGAAAATGCCTCTATGTCTGAATCTTAGTATTTTTTGTGAAAAACTGAATTTTTATTTTAACTGAATTTATGTTTTCTGCAGAGCATTGAAAACCAACAAGGTTGTAAACTACTATTAAAAATAAACAAACAAATTCATAAATCACTATTGTATCAAGGAAATTTTCCAACTGATATTTTAAAAATAGAGATTATTCTAAGTCTTCCTCATTAAGAAGTTCATTAAGTCAGAGATTTACTGCATATCAGTTAAGTGCAAAATCTAAATGAGGCACTGTAGGAAATATATAGATATATGGAGATTTTAGACTGAGATTTGGAAGAGAGACCTGGGCTGGTGTTACCAAGAGAAAGAGGAGAAATTAATGAAGATATTGTTAAAATGTGCAAGTTTAAAAATCGTGGATGTCACAGAAGGCCGCTTAGGTGGGACTTTGACTTTTTCCATTCAGAGTAAGTGTTGTCAACTTGAGTGTCATTAATTGAGGATCATTCAGAAAATTTGAAGCATCTATTGTAGAAAAGGTGTAAGTTTTATGCTTTTGAGGTTGCAGTGATATGAGGCATACAATGAGACAGAAGCCTTTGCACTTTTGCCACACCTCAGTGGTGAAGAACTTACACTAAAGCAACACGCAAAATATCTGTCATTGTAGAATTAAAGTATGAGAAGGGAGCTAAATGCTACTTTAATCATTTCTCTCAATCTCTGTGCTTGTGATAATGTGTTTGCCTTGGTTTGGAACCTTGAAAACAGACCCTGAGACAGAGACTTGGGTGCAAGTAATTTAGGTGGAAGGTGATGCCAGGATGAACGGGTGAGGGAACAGGGGGAATGTGAGATAGGCAGGGAAGAAAAGCAAATGAACGTTGCATTACTGAGATCTCAGCTAGAGGTCACAGAACCTCTGAGAAGTGTACAGATGTCTCCCATGAGGGGGGCATTTATTCACTGGCTCCCAACCCCACTGGTTTGGGGTTGCCTACAGAGCACATTGAGATCTCTCGTCCCTGAGCTGTGCCTTGTTCTTGGGGTAAACTGGCTCACACGTTTTCAGAGAAAGCCCTAAGGCAGAAAAGCAGAGACAGGCACAATGAGGCTGTTGATCTAGAACAGTCAGCATGCATGGAAATGTCTACCCAGGGGTGGCTGAAATCAGAGGTGGGTGCTTTCGTGTCCCACCTACCAAGCCTAGCATATATCTTGCAATTAAATTTAAACAAATACCTATGAAAATGGCCAGAGGGTAAGCTTTTTGAGGGGAGGCAGTATCTTTCTTCTCTATATTCTGAAAGCATTACACACACACAATTTCAAGCAGAGCCTGACTCAGCACCTCTGTCAAATATTTATTGAATCATTATTATGAGACTAGCACCATGCTGAGTAATGTGTATTGGATGGAGGGAGGAAAGACCTGAGACCGTCCTTGTTTTCAGTTTGTAATGTCACTGGGAGAGGTGATATGTTTGTGTGGAGAATGGAGTCATGTGATAGTGTCAAAAGTACTCAAGTGAAAAGTGTAGAGTTCCGATAATATCTCTTAGATAGGAGTTGAGAGTAGGCTGAATAAAACTTCATGGAAAATGTGGAACTGGTGTTAGATCTTGACTGATAAAGAAAAGTTTGGATGGGGTGTGTCTGTGCGTGTGTGCATGCGTGTGTGCATGCTCATGTGTTTACAAGAGGTATAAAAAAGGGAGAAACTTATTGAAGGGAACTGGTACATGAAAGTTTTTAAGTAATTTATGCTAAATTTTTGCTGCAGATGTTGCTCATAACTTGGGACTCTCTAACACCCAGGGATGAACCACATTGGCCATCTCTACCCTACTTGAAGTGCAAGATTTCCTCATTTCCTGGACCATGGAGAGCCTGGCTTGATTTGACTACATACATCTTCTACTGGCGTTTTGTTCAGTCTGAACCAGTGACTAGATCAGGCAACAGGGATTTTAACAGACTGCCTCAGTACTGTTGAGTTCTATCAAAACAAACACCCTCTTGCGACTAGCTTTATAGAAAGCCTGGCTCACGTGTGCTCAACAAACAGACCTTGCTGGGATGGAATCACTGTCTTCACATCTGCTTTTAGGAATGTACCAGCCAGTAAAACAAACACATCTATAAACATTTTAAAAATATGTCAAGAGTACTGAATCTACAGAGCAAATAGGCAGCTGAGGGCCAGCATCTGTCCATATTTTACTAACAGACTACCTCTTCTTGTAGGATGAGCATTCTTTTTTTAACCAGGCAGTAGAGGAGATGCTTCAAAACTGTAGCTATTCTATTTCAGAGATGTCAACATGTAACTATAGTGTCCTAATACATTAGTACACAGTATTCTCCAACTTCTGAACCCCAGCCCACCACTCCATCAAGAGTTTAGATGTCTTCTGCTCTCAATTTTCCTTTTAAAAATACTCTACATGACTACTTGACAGACACTCTGAGTAGGGACTTATGTCTATATTTTTCCTCTACCACTGAATAAAATACATACATACATATATATATATATATATATATATATATAATATATATTAATATACACATATATATTCACAGATTAATGAATATGGTTTACCTGTATTCTTCTTACAAGAATACTTTTGCTCCAAAAATACATATTTTTCCCCAAATTCAGTTAAAATGGTATATTTTCTTGACCTGTTGGTATTAGTGATAGGAATTGTTGTCCAGAATGGAAAGTGACTTCCTTTTATGATCTTATTACCCATGTTTTCAAGGTATTATTAATTACAGACTAAGTTATTTTTGTAATCATAATACAATTGCAAACAAACAAACAGAACCATCTATAACTGTCAAGCAATGTCCTGGGGTAGAGCCAATGATCTATTCAGCATCAAAGCTGCAGTCTCTGGTGGTCACTGCCAAACTACAGCCCTGCTGCTTCTGGGCTTGACAGGTTGAAATGACCCCCATCAGCTGGGAGCAGCCATCCAGACCTGGGTGGATTTCCAAGGGGTGAAAGACTCCCCTGCTCTAGGGACAACCAGGCACTCTTGCCCTCAGAGGCTGAAGTCACTCTGGGGACCATAGTGGGTCAGCCTGCATTTGTACCTCTGGGATCTGTGAAGAAACACAGACTTGTCAGGAAGCATCAGCACGATTGCCCCTCCTAGAAACCAGTCAGCCTGGAAAGGGGCCCAGTCCTTCAAGACAGTCTTCCTCCTAATACGATTTGGTTGGAAAGATCCTTAAATACATGTAACATGATTATTCTTAGCCTGAATATTTTCTTTACTTCCTGTGTGCATGCCAAAGACTTCTGAAACAGCCAATGTGTGTTCAACAACATTTTAAACTTTAGGTAAAATGGTGTTATTGTAGTTTTAAAATGTGTAGCTGCCTGCTTATAGCCTACTTTTAAAAAGTGAGACCTGATGTGTCATTATGCATGCTTACATTATTTTAAGCATGTGCAATGCTGGATGTGTACAGTACAATACTGAATTTGTAATTTGAATCAAGTATGGTGTACTCTGTTTTCAGCTGACTTAAACAACCTGGCTGGCTGCAGAGGTGTTTCCTGAGTCATTTGCAACTTTCTGTGTGGGGGATCAGGGTGGAAGGAGACCCTTCACGTGGCATGGTTGTCCAAGCTGTGCCCTGAAGCAGCCTCACCCTCAGCGTGCGACATGTCAAAGTGAATTGTTGAAGGATACAATTTCTGTGAAATAAAAACTGGTTTTAAGAGGTGTTGCTTATGAAATGGATTTTAGCAGTAGTAGAAAACTAAAGAATAAACATTTGATATTCAGCAATTGAAAATACCTCTCTGTGTTTTCTTGAGGGAGGAAAATGATTACCTTAGCAAATTTGCCCTTGTTCTTGAGGTGGTTCTATTGCTTAGAATAGTCACTCTTTTCATTTCCTCCCTCCCTCCC